TTGAAATAAAACAAGTATTATGTAGATACTGGATGGAAGGGGATATCTTTAAAGTAGCTTCCTTCTGCACTTCCTTATATGCTGAATCTTTTGTTTCTTAGCATAAGTATACATTGTATGCTAAAGTGCTTGTAAAATTAGTTCAACAACACTTGAATGTTGATTATCATCTGTTATTAAATGTGTATAATAAATTCCAAGAACTTTCTGGACAAACACATTTTTAAAAGTACATCTGAGTGAATTTGGTGCTTATGAAACTACAGAACCTAACGACATATTGTGCTGTCTCATTGCCTCGTTCATTATTTCTTTTCTTGTGGTGTTCCTTGGCAGCACAGCTGATTCTGAACTTCAGTCTTAAAAGACCGTACGTGTGCAGTCGTCACAAGGAGTTAATGCTTCGTTCTTTATAATCTGAATCTTACTTCTATCTGGGTTTTGTGACCTCTGTGTTCCTTTTAATCTTGGGACTAACAAGTTCTTTAAATATACTCAGTACCTGAGTCACTGGCTGCTTATCTTCCCCTATATCTATTTTTCATCTCCAGCCTCCAGGACTGCGCTTTGATAAAGGACTTCACGTTGATTTTTTTGAACAGGTTGTGAAGGAAGGCCGGACTTTCCCAAGGCTGTCAGGTGTTTCCCCCTCCTTTTTCTGTGCTTTGGAGTTTCTATTGGTAGGTGCTTCTTCCTTCTCTTTTTTTAAACATCCCTAAAGAATGGTTTAGGTTTAAAAAGAGCAATTACATAGCTCTTTAAGAAGAGTATCACTTCTAAATTGTGTTTAATATTTTAGTTCCTTCCGACTTAGGCGTTCATTCAAATACTTCCTTTGCCTTCAAAACCAGTCAAGTGATAGTAGGCCTTCTCGTGTCTTCTCATGAGCCGTTACACTGGTCCTTGCTGCTCTGAGTACTGTCGCACAGATACTTTGTAGGACAAATTCACTCCGCTGGGATGAGAGCCTTTAGCATTCGTGTCTGTACGGTGAAACTGTGTCCTGGTGAACTGTTGACTTGCATCATTGAATTCCTCTCCTGATCCTCTGTAATAGAGATCCTGTCATCCAAACCCAGCCTCGTCTGATCTGTTCACCACTCGATCTTCGTGGTTAACCTCTTATCTCGTGTTTCTCAAGCCTTTCATTTGTAGTTGTGCTGCTGTAATTCAGAAAGTAACCATGTGGGATGCCTTGTGCAACATGGCAGAACCTCTGCTGCATGAATCTCGCTTGCTCTTGTTATTCTGAAACTGCTAATGTAGGTATGTTTGTTAATTGAGGCTCCCTTCCTGAAATGACAGCTACATGGGTTTAGGTAAGGGACTCGCTGGAATAACTAAAGTAGGGAGAAAAAAAGTTTAATTGAACATTAATTATTTTGCGTAAAAGTGAGTCCACAGGAGTGAACGTAAGGATGAAGTGAGTCACCGGCAGGTCAGTATCTGTAGTCCAGAATAAAGAAAGATGGATTTGTTGTGTCAACAGACAGGACAATAGCAGGTGTGCAATAGTTTGAAGTTTATAGAAACTCAGTGTTGGATTACTAAATCCCTCCACTTGTGTGACTTTGGAAATTTGCCTTGGGGGTTCTGTGTGGACCACCTTCCTGAGCTTCACCACTGCAGTTTCACACTCTGAAACCAATTTATGAATTGCCTTAATGTTCAAGGACAAAGACCGTAGACAATGTTGAGTACTCCCTGAAAACTGGTGTAATCTTGAATGATAAATAACAGCACTAAGGCGGAGTTCTGTGCGCAGAGCCATGACTGTAAAACTTCCGTGCATTAAAGCTCATAGTTGCTCAGCTCTGCGTGGTCTGATGCAAATTAATCCTCCTGCAGGACTGGCCAAGTGCAGGCTGTGCTGGGAGGTACATTAACTTGGAGGAGCAGCTTTAACATCACGTGCATTTTTGCACTCTTGCCTTCATTCCTCAAACGTCAAACGTACGAATACGTGTGTTTCGGTATAAAAAGTAGTGCTCTTGGAAGAGTAGCTTTCAGGCATTGGACTGTATTTTGGTTGAGCTTCATTTCAGCTGTCCCTTGTGATAACTTATGTTTTAGTGTAGGATCATCTGCTCATAAACCCTTGAATCATCTGCTTAAAGTCCGTTTAGTTAAAGTCACGTAACTACCCGGCAAGGCAGTCGCAGCGCTGGCAACACCTGACATGGACGACTTCTCAGCTGGGGTCCAAAGCTGTAGTAGAGACTTTGGCAGGCGGGGGAGAACTGCCGCTCCTTAGAGCGTCATCTTCCCACGGGGCTCTCCAGCTTCCTTCACTTTGCTGATTAGCACCTTGGTTTCCCTCTTGTACAATTTTTTTTTTTCTCCCCTGTCACGTTCACAGAATTTTCCAGTGGACTTGTTTGTTTCTCTTGATCGTGTAATAAATTACTGTGAAAGTAGTGTATCTCTTTAATAATCTTTCTTACTATCCTTAAATCTGAGAAAAATGGCATAGGCAGTTATGTATTTCCAGACTTTAATCAACAGTTTGACTTTTGGACTTTACTTCAGCTCTCCTAGAATGAGTTCAAAGAGGTCGTCACTGCTTGAGTCCATTCGGCTACGGCATGAAGCAAGAAGATGGAGACGGTTGCCCACCCCGGTGGCTGGCTGTAGATGATGTCCTGTAACAGTGACTCTTACCTCAGCTCTTTGTGTCTCGGAAATCAGATAGCTAGCTGCTTAAAGTACAGCAAGAACGTCGCCTCTTTCCTGCTGTATTCATCCTGGAATGCATAACGTACAGCAACTGTTGTTCTTGTAACCCTGTTGTCATTTCAAGCTAGGTTCTGGTTGACTGATGGTTTGCCTTGTTCAGGTTTAGTTCTGACTTGACTCGGTAGCATTTCCTTCTAGGAAGAGTGAAGCTTAGCTAACATCCATCATGCTTGAAAACCTTATGGTCCACTTGTGATAATTTGTGTTTGCTTCCTTGGTTGCCTGGAGGCAATCAGCAAGCAAATACGTGGGCAAGTTCTTTATATGCCCAGTTCTTGTGTGTGGATTAAGCCTTGGGAAGATGGCCGGGAAGAGTGGGATCTAATTTAACTGACTTTAAAATAGTAGAACAACCAACACGCAGCTGGAGGTGATCTTTGTTCAGAAGGCTGGTCCTCAGTTAATTCACTGTAGATTTATTAGTAACACGTTTGGCTGTTTTTCAGTGTTGGGAGTTACCTACAGAACTCTCCGCTGGGGTTAACTCGAACGCTGGGTGTGCTGTATAGATTTAGCAGCTGAAGATGCTTATGGGAAGAGAGATTCGACTTCGGGGATCTGTGTGGTTTTACCTTTAAAGAAAAGCGTTTTGGGTTTTGCCTTAAGCGTAAGCTGTGGTTATTGTGGGGCCATGCCTTTTGGGGTATCCTCGGAGAAGCCGCTTCCCCCGGCTTGCACGTGCTTTTGGGTGGTGGGAGCAGGAAAGACCACCTCTCTAACTGGATTCTGCCATTTAAAATTAGATTTAAATGTGTTTCAAGAGGAATCACCGTTCAAAATGTTATCTGTTAAAGTCTAACTTAGAGTTACCTGTTAAAAAGTTATTCACTGTAGAAACTTTCAGAAAAGGGCACTAGAAGATGGGCACGAAGCCTCATTTTTAAGAACATTGGTGCAGAAGTTGAGTCCATGACCCAAACACGCAAAGATTTTGGCGTTTCGGTGGGAGAAAAGTGTTATTAATGTTTTAAAAATAATTTTTAAGTAGGGATTGTTCTTCACTAAGAGTTTAATTTCTTCACGATGTGAAAAGGAAAGAGGGCTGGACGCCCTTGCTCTGTTCACGAAAGCCTCAGCTCTTGACGCCCACTAACGAAGCACAGATGCACAGCGTGGCAAAGCGCTGAACAGTTTTCCAAAGAAAAATACTGAAAATACACCAACCGTTGCCAAAACTGTTTTAACCTCTGCACGCGTTGAAGGAAGAGGTGTGCTTTGTGCTGTCTTGAACTTGGAAAGAACAGCAAGAAAGTACAAAAAGCAAAATTCCCCAAACGGATTCAATTCCAGGCAGTGAAGCAGCAGCCTACCAAAACCAAACCTACCAAAATAGCATGGGAATTGCTCAAGTGTTCAGCTTTTGAAGAGGGGAATGGCTGTTAAAATCATCAGTCATTGCAAAACAACCCCCAAAAAAGTTCTCCTCTCTCTTTTGTTTTAATTAACTTTCACCTAAAGGCCATTCAGGAAAATAATGACTAAAAATTGTTGTTGTAGTCAGGGAAAAAAAATAAGATAAGGATGTATTTAACAAAATCTGAACACATGTATGTTAACCATGTGTGGTAAC